ATGCAGGAGGTGGGGGAGGCACCGCGGGGGGGGCTGCAGAAAGACGTGGAGGGAAAAATTGGCTCCAGGGACACAGACACTTGGGGGCTGCAGCCGTCGGGATGCCGAGGATGCTGGCCCCGGGGCTACTGGTCCCAAGGGAGGGGGCAGGCAGGGATGCAGACACCCAGGAGACAAGGATAGAGGCTCCGGGGACGCAGATTATTAGGGATGCAGCAGCTGGGATGTGCGGGATGCCGGGGATGCAGGGAGTACCAGCTGCAGGGATGCGGGCACCCGGGGATGCAGCACCCGGGATGCAGAGGTCCCTGGTCCCCGGGGAGGCGTGTGGTTGGGGTGTGGGGGGACAGGGATGCCTTCAAACAAGGATGTGAGGGGATGCTGCAGCACCTGGGGCGGGGGGAGGCTGTCCCCAGGGCTGCTGGCTGCCAGGATGCAGGAGATTCTGGCTTGGGGGCACCTGGGATGCAGTCCCCATGGATGGAGATGGCCAGAGAGGCAGCCCCCAGGGATAGGGGCACCCCCAGGGGGTGGCAGAAGGGTTCGAGTGCCACCCAGCCTTCACAGCCCATTCCTGCCACTCCAGTTTGGAATGTCCCTCAGCTGGTAAATGGCACCTCCTGTCCCCATTCCCACTGTTTCCTCCTTCAGCTGTGGCTTCCTGGGCCATGGCAGCTTCAGCTCCTGGAATTTCCCTTCAAGACCCCCCCAGTTGCAGGAGCTTCAGGGCCCTGGCATCCCCTGGCAGCATCTGACAGCAGCAGCCCAGCCCTGGAGCCCCCTCCTCAACCCATTTCCTACTCACCTAAGTAAATACTGTCCAAACCAGGGGCCCCAAAAGTCCAGCCCTTCCTCCACCCTTCCCACAGGTGCCAGCTGGGCCAGGGTGAGAGCGGGCAGAGCCCTGGCAGCACTGCCCTGCCCCGTGGCAGAGTGCCACGTGGAGCTGCGTGGGGACACGTGTCACCGCTGCCAGCGCGGGGGAAGCCCAGCCCGAACGTTCACCACCATCACAGCTCAGGCTGGGTTTTTAGAAGTGGAAGAAGGGCTCTGCTCAGCCCCTCTTGTGTTTATGGTTGCTCTGGAGCCACCTCATCCCCGGCTCGAGCAGACCTAAGTAAGCTTCACCTTGTTTTCTGTCCTGTTTTCTTGCCTCCCGTCTGGCTCCTGCGTCCCCCAGTAGCACTGCATGTTGCAGGGTGACAGGAGGGTGAGTTTATTCCTTCCTTCCCTCTCCCAGACCCGTCTCAGCCTCACCCCGTGTCTCCTGACTCCCTCTTGGCAGACGGAGCATCCTTCTGTCGGCCGTCACGGAGACTCTGCTGGCTCTTGGTGCTGGGCTCTGGACTCTCCCATCCTTTCTCCCCCTCTGCTCTCCAGCTTCTCCATGCCCTGGTCCTCAGCTCTGCCGCTCGGCTCTTCTCTGCAGGACAAGCTGCCCCTCTCTTTCCTCTGCCTTTAGGATGTCTCCTGCCTCTCTTCACCCTCCAGTGCAACACCCCCCTTCTCGACACTTCAGAATCTGATCTGCCATGCTGCCTCCCACAGCTTGGAGCAGAGAAGGGGCAAGGGGAGATCTGAGGGACTGGGGTCTCATCCTGACTCCCCAGAGCACTTTTCCTCCAGTAATGCTAAGCCCATAACATGCAGCACAGAGGTTTCTTGCAATACATCCCACACCACCCATGGGGGTCCCACGCTGAGGGTGCAGGGACTCAATACCTCTGCCCTCTGCTCTTCCACAAGGGTTGGCAGGGATGCTGCAAGGGTTAATCCTGCTGCCAGCAGCCTCCTCTCCTCAGGTCCCTCCTCTGCCCTATCAACTCCTCTGCTCTGGTTTGGCCTGGGTGAGTACAAGGGTTGGCAGGGATGCTGCAAGGGTTAATCCTGCTGCCAGCAGCCTCCTCTCCTCAGGTCCCTCCTCTGCCCTATCAACTCCTCTGCTCTGGTTTGGCCTGGGTGATTCATCCAGCCTGGGGAGCTCAGGGGAGATGTCATTCCTGTGGGCAGGGGCTGGGATGGCTCAGTTGGGACCCCCTGAAGTGCTGCAGGGTTGGGGGGAGCACCCAAAGCACCCACCCCCACAGCACTGCCTCTGCAGCCCCTGATTTGATAGTCCCCATGTGGGATGGAGGGGTGGCTGTGGGATGGAGTTCTGCTGCTGGGGCAGAGCCTGGTCCTTCTGCCAGCACCTGGCCACCAGAAAGGGTCATTGGGCTCCAGGCAGGGACAGTAAGGGTCTGGCAGGGGACAAACAGGCAGGGAGAGCAGGCACAGGAACTGTTACACAGCAGAAGGGCTGGGAGCAGCCCTGGGATGCTCTTGGCACGGCTTTGCCAGCGACGCCCTGGCAGGAGCCCCATCTGTGTGGCAGCCTCCTGGCTCCAGTGATTCCTTCTCCCTTTCCCTGAGCTGTGCTCCTGGGGCAGACGCCGCCCCGTGTCCTCCCCTGAGCCGCTGCCAGGAGGTGCCTTCAGCCAAAACTGTGCTTGTGTTCTGCCAGGGCCAGGATTTCCCGGAGTGCCTGGGCTGGAGCTGGGATGGTGCTCCCAGAGGGGCCCTCCCTGTGCTCCCCACTCCCAGGGAACCCTCACCCTGCAGGAGCCTGGTCCCCGAGTCCCCACCAGACCAGCTTGTGCCCGGGCAACACACAGGATGCTGAGCGTGGCTTTATCACGCAGCCCTGCATCCCTCCCTCAGCACTTCTGCCTCTGGGTGCTGCTCTGCTGCCAGCTGCCCCCCAACTCTTTGCTCTTTCATCATATTCCTCCCTGCTGCTATTTTCTGCCTCCGCACTGAAAGGTCCCAGTGCCAACCCCAGGGCTGTGTCACCACTGACACCAGTGACCATGGGCTGGTGGCTGGTTCCTGCCTCCCGGCGCTGAGCAAAGCCCTTGGCAGAGCTGAGGGGCTGGGGGGTGGCTGCTGCCCCAGCCCTCCATCCTCTGCATGACCCCCCCAAATCTCTTTTGGTTCCTGCTGAGAAATAACCCCACGATGGGGGGAGGTGGGGGGATGCTGCATGAAATCCTGCCGGGGCAGAGCATCCCTGGGGCTGGGCAAGGATGCTCTGCCTCATCACCCTGCGACGGGGCTGGAAAGGAGGTCCCCGAGCTCGGGGGGGGAGTCCTTTGGCTACGTGACCACCGGGGGACAAGCCCTCAGCCTCCTCTGCAGGGGAGAGGCGGGTAATGGCTGTGGCTGCTGCGCCCAGACAAAGCTTAATCCACAGCACAAAGCACAAGGCCAGAGATTGGCTCCTGCTTTACGTCACCGAGGAGGAATGGCAGTACCAAGATTGTTGGGTTTTTTCTTTTTTTTTTTCTTTCTCCCTTCATTTTAAATTCTCTTGCAATCTCTGTCCAAAAATAACCCAAGCTTCCTCCCCCGGGAATGCTCCACAGCAGAGCTTTGGCTCCTTCGCCCCCCTGTGCATTAGCCTGACAGCTGCTACACGAAGCTATTATCTCGTGTCACATCATAACCCTTTTTAAAAGCACGTTTTTTTTTCAGAGTGCAGGGTTATTTTGTTGTTTCGTGCGGGGAGGTGCAGGGATGCACAGGAGGAGGCCCCGGGTTCCCTGGCAGGGCAGCGGGTGCTCCAGGAGAGGGCATTTCCCAGGGTGCTGGGTGGGCTCTGCATCCCCATCCCTCCCCACCAGGTATCCCAGAGCTCCCACAGGGACTCTACAGGTGTCAGAAAATGGTATTTAACCTGTGGTTTCCCTGTGGCCCTGCTCCTTGGTGAGGTGGTGACATCTGCCATCCTGCCACCACGGTCCCAGAGCAGAGCCCCCCCAGGCAGGACACTGTCCTGCACACTCCTGATGCTTTTCATCCTCCTCAAGGATGTGCCAGGGCCCAAAGGGGTCCCAGAGGGCTGCTTGGGGGGGGAACATCCTGTGGGGAGAGGGAAGAAACAAGCACCCACCAGAGCAGCTCAGCCCAGAGAGTATCCCAGGGAGCAGCAATGGGATTTGTCCCACCCAGCCATGAGATCTTCCCTGAGATGGTGTGGAGCTGTATGGGGGGCAGGGGAGGTAGACTCCCTTCCTCCATGGTTTTGGGGAGCTGCCCTGCCCCAGATGGTATATGCCCCATAGGAGACACCGGGTGATAGCCATGCTGCAGGGTGAGTGGGGCACAGGCAGGATGGGTCCCCAAAGGCTATCAGGGCTCCCCCAAACCTTCTGCGCATCCTCTGTGACATAGTCATGGGTGTCCAGTGGGGTCCCAGGGGACCTAGACCCTCATCCACCCCATAAGGCATCAATGCTGAGCTGGCACAAGTGATGCTCAGGGACAGGATGAGGCTGGGTTCAGGGAGGAGGCAGTGCTGGGTCCCACAGGGCATCCAGAGAAGGAGAGATGTCCCCAAGGCCATGTCACCTCACCTTGTGTCCCACCAGTGCTCGGCTGATCCCATCACACGGGAGCAGGGGGACACCATGGGGTTGTCCCAGGGCAGCATCTGGCCCCTGGAAACCACATTCAGAGCCAAGGCAGAGCCACCATCCCACAGCGAGACGTGCCACGTGCCCAGCACTCACCCCTGTGCCAGTGCCACAGGCACTGCCTGCCCTTCAAATCTCTACAGACTTATTTCAGGCATTTAAAAATCCAGAGCAATTCGTATTGAGGTTATAGTGAACGCTAGAGCTTCCCACGGAAGTATTTTATCATGTTCAAAAATATTTAATCCCAGCAATTTTCACATTGTTCTTATAAAAACAGACATGTATGAAGGGAAATGAAATGCTTAGTACATTTTTGGCACATTTTTTTTTTCTATTTTTTTTTGCTTTTTTCTTTTTTTTTTTTAACCTTTACAAATTACAAACACACATTCATTGTTTTTAAAGGAAAAAAAAAAACCAAAAACCAAAACCCAAACCTAAGTCTCAGCTGTACACTGCAGAGATGCACTAACCACCCCGAAACCAAACCAGCCTCCCGTGGTTACAATTGCTGTTCTACAAGGACAAAAGAAAGACACCAGTGGCCAAGGACACGTCGGTGGCTTCGCTGTCCTCCCCAGGGCCTGGCTGGGGGGCTGGCAGTGGGGAGGACCCACTGAGAAGATGGCCCTTTTGGGGGGTCTGTGTCCCCTCAGAGGAGGGGAGCAGCCCCACCAGTGTCTGGCTCTGGCAGAGGTGAAGGCAGCGAAGGGGTGTAGGGGATGCTGAGGCTCAAACTGGGGTTCCCTGGGGTGGGACCAGCTTTGATGGGCTCATTTCTGCCTGGTTTGACCCCCCCTCTCCAGGCTGGTGTCCCATTCTGGAGCACTTCCACGTTGCCACTGCCTTTCCTCCCCCAGTACACCTCCACTTCCATCCCCTTTATCCATCCCCTGCCCGGTTGTGAGCCCCAACAAGGTGCCAACCCCTGGGGAGATGGGGGGGGAGGCTGCAGACCCCCGGGGCAGGGCTGCGATGTTCTGATCTCTGCCCAGTGCTGTGCCAAAGGGGATTTTTGGCAAACTGGTGGGAGCAGTGGGAGGGAGCCCAGTCCATCCTGCTTACCCTGAGGGGGTTTTCCTGGAAGGATCACGGTAAGCGTTATGAAAGAGAACGACTGGTGTGAGCCAAGGGGTGCCAGCTGCTCAGATGCTACCTGGGGTAGGGGGGCAAAAAGGGGCGACCCCTGGCCATTAATGGGACCGGGGTTTTTTGGCAAGGGTCATGGTAAGCGTTATGAAAGAGGAACAACTGGTGTGAGCCAAGGGGTGCCAGCTGCTCCCAGTGCCCAGGGAGGTTTCCCACAGCTCCCAGTCTGGGGAGGGAACTGGGAGAAGGCGGGGGGGTCACTGGTTAATGCTTCTCCGTAGAGCTGCGAGTCCTGGTTCGTTGCCTCTCCAGCATCCAAAAGCAAAGCAGGGAAAAGAAAGCGGGATGTACCGTGTGAGATCCGGGCTGTCCCCTGCTCCCCGGGCACAGCGAGGGGGGGTCCACACTGGTTGGCAGCTTTCCTGAGCCACACTCCACCTCCCCACAGCAAGGATGGTCCCTGGACCAGCACAGGAGCCCCCGAGGCTCCCCAGCTGGGGAGGAGGGGAACTGGGAGCTGTGGGTCGGGGAGGGCTGGACCCTGCACCTACCTCAGCCCCCAGCAATCAACTGCAGGCTCTTGCAATGGAGACATTTTTAATTTTGAACAACACCAGAACCGCAAAAATCCCCCTGCGTGTGCGTGGGGGACGTGCCGCCGTGTGGGGTTGGGGGGGACACACACAGAGGGTGTCCCCCCATGTCACCCCGGCCTCGGCGGGACCCGGCTCTGCCCCAGCTCCCCCGCTGCTGCCTGCGCCCGGGGCTCTGCAGCACACCTATCGCAGTTTAAATAGAATAAATACAGTGAAGAAAACAGTAAAATCTTCAATAAAGAGGCAAAAGGAAAGACAACAGCAGGTCCAGGGGGCCAACCAAACTCCACGTGGTCTCTGGATTAGTTACTGAGGAAGTTCTATGAGAGCACATTAAGTTCGCAGCCGGAGACTCTCTTACCACTGTCCTTATATCGAAACCTCGTATTCTCTTGTTTCCTGAAAAAGAAGGAAAAGCCAGTTGAGGGCAGCAGCTGCAGTTCAGGATAATATTCCCATTCCCAGGCGAAAAGAGAGGCTCCGAGTGTCAATTTTGCTCCCGGGGAAGCCCTCCCTGCCTGGACCTCGCAGGCTCCTTTCCCTCCCTTTGCCTGTCGGAGTCCACCTGGCCCCTCAGGATGGATGGACAGGGATGGAACCATCCTCATCCAGCGATGGATGGACAGGGATGGAAGCTCCCCACCCAGTGATGGAACCATCCCCACCCAGCGATGATGGACAGGGATGGAACCATCCCCATCCAGCGATGGATGGACAGGGATGGAACCATCCCCACCCAGCGACGGATGGATGGACAGGGATGGAACCATCCCCACCCAGCGATGGATGGATGGACAGGGATGGAACCATGCCCACCCAGCGATGGATGGATGGACAGGGATGGAACCATGCCCTTTCCCATTCCCAGGTGAAAAGAGAGGCTCTGAGTGTCAATTTTGCTCCCGGGGAAGTGATGCCCTCCCTGCCCCGCAGGCTCCTCTCCCTCCTTTTGCCTGTCGGAGTCCACCCAGCCCCTCAGGAGCGATGGATGGACAGGGATGGAAACATCCCCATCCAGCGATGGATGGACAGAGATGGAAGCTCCCCACCCAGTGATGGAACCATCCCCACCCAGCGATGGATGGACAGGGATGGAACCATCCCCATCCCATTACTCAAGGATGGGCTTGACCCATCCTGTTGCCTGGAAAAACCCACTCTTCCCCATCAGGATGGTCCCCGGGGAGGAAAGCCTGGAGCAGGACTCACCCCTGTCTCATAAATCGGGTTGTCGAACTCCGTTTCTACCGTGATCTGGCTGTAGGGGTGGGAGTACATGAGGGGCAGGCGGAGGCTGGAGTAGTACCTACACCTGGGGGGGGACACACACAAGAGTCACCAGGCTGCACAGAGCAAAGCATGGCCAGCCCCATCCTCCCACATCCCCCCCATCCCACCTCCCCACCAGCACCCTAGGGATCCCAGATCTCAGTTCTTGGATACCCAGGACCGTGCCCAGGGCATGTGGCCGGTGAGGGCACGACAATGCTGAGCCAGCCCTGGCCACCTCACCACGGGGCTCTGCCACCAGCCCCCCCAGCCTCGCTGCACGCCCCCCACCTTGTGAGATAGATGTACGCTCCTCCCAGCAGCAAGGAGATGATCAGCACCGGGATGAATATAGCCAAAGCCATATTTCCCCCCTCCAGCGATGTCTCTGCTGCAGCTTCTGCTACTAAAAGGACAAGATCTATTACGTCAGCATTTGCGAGCCCCTTGTGATCCCCCCCACTGTGCCTCTGCTCCCCCCTTCCCTCCTCCCGGGCTCCACGTGGGCCCTGGCACAGGGTTCATCCCGCAAACTCATGTCACTCACCTTCCAGAGCATGTTCAAAGCTGTCTTGATTCACTGGAAGAGAAATGGAGGGTTACTGGTATGTAACTGGGTTTGACTGGGTGCCAGCAGCTTTTGCCTGTGTGGGGACCCCAGGCCTGGGGTCTCCTTGCACCTTTTGGTCCCAAGCCACACAGCAAACTTGTGATTTTTAATAAACTCTCATTCTCTGTAGGCAAAGGCAGGGGACTGAGCGGGCTGGGCAAGTGGGACACCAGCAGGATGGCTCTGCCTGGGGCGGTGGTACCCTCCAGAGAGCCCTGTTCCCCAGGAGACAAGGTCTCCATGTAGTCCCATTAAATAGTAATTAAGAATAATTCTTCTCTGAGGCTTAATGATGATGGGAGGACTGTCCTGTGACCAGAAAGTGCACTAAAGCCAAACTAGACCAGTGCCCAGGGGGGTTCCTTGGGGCCAAGATCTTCCATCTCAGTGGGTGCCCGAGGAGAGCATCCCTGCCGAGCCTGGGCAAACCGCTACGAGAAGCAACAAGGCAAGAAAAGCAAGTGACATCCCACACACCCCACCCCCCCAGCATGGTGGTCAGAGGGTTTGCTCCACCTCCCTGCAGCACTGCTCAGCACAAATCCAGAAAAGCACCCAGGTTTCAGATGAGCTTAGGTCCCAGCTAGAGAACTGCTGGGATTCTGCAGCCAGGTGAAGGTCTCAGGCTGTCCCATGTTGGGGACCGAGGCTGTGGCTGCCCCTGCAACCCCAAATCCACCCCACACCGTTACCTTTGCAGATGGGCAGGGGCCCGCTCCAGTGGGACGGCTGGCCCAGGATGCATTTGATGGTAACTTCCCCCATGAGCTCAAAGCCCTCATAGCACATGAACGTCAGGGACTCTCCGGGCAAGTAGAGGCGCTTATAAAGTATTTGGTAGCCATTTTCTGGCAGTCCTGGGTTATCACAGGCCAGCGACTCCTCGGCTGAAAGGAAACACATCCCGGGGTGAGCCCCAGGGCTCAGGCCAAGGGAGAGAAGGAGCCTGGGGGGCAGCGGGGAAGCACCCGAGATCCCACCCCATCCTGCTCTGGGGTAGCTCAAAGCTCTGCACCACTCCATGAAGCTGGGGAAGGTCTTGGCTGCAGGAAAGGGCTTCCCAGGACCCCTCCCCGATCAGAGGAGCCGAGGTACAGGGTGGGGGTGGGAGAAACCATCCCTCCCCAACTTACAGACGCAGTGTGGGAGCCGTGAGGTCCAGATGGGGGTCCCCGTCTCACGGCTGTAGCAGGTCAGCAGCGAGCTGCCCTCCAGCACGAAGCCGGGGTTGCAGGTGTACTGGATGGTGGTCCCCACCAGCAGCACCGGGTCGGAGATGAGGCGGGTGGAGTGCTCCACCTCCCCCGGGTCCGTGCAGTACATAACTGGGGAAAAGAGGCCGTCTGAGTGGGGCAGTGGGGACCAGGAACCCTTAAAAACCCGGTGTGGGTCACGGGAATACGATGGGGACAACAGGACGTTGCTCGGGGCACTTACTCTTTTCGCAGAAGGGGGGGTCGCTGCTCCAGCTGAGGTCCCACTGGCAGGTGAGGGTGTCGCTCCCCACGATGTCGTAGCCCGGGTCGCACTGGTAGGTGATCTTGGCCCCTCTCACCAACTCCGTGTGCGATGTGGTCTTCCAGCCGTTCTGGATCTCGGGCAGGTCGGAGCAGGAGTCGTTGCGGGACACCTCTGCAGCCAAGAGAGATGCTGGCTGTGCCCCACCGAGCGAGACCCCACTGCAGAGCCTTCCTCAGAGCTACTGCACGGGGACACACAGCTCTTCACTGGATGCCTGTCCCTCCCTGAGAGCTCTCCTGTCCTACTCATGGCCACAGCTGACGGCCCTGTCCAGGGGTGGCATCCCCTGGGCAGAGGGAAGAGACAGTGGGGCAGCAGTGGGTAAGTGGGGGTTCTTTGAAGCCTCCCAGAACTGTAGGGGTTGGAAGGGACCTTCAGACACTGTTGTTGGAAGGGATCTTCAGACACTATCCAGTCCAACCCCCTGGCAAAGCAGGGTCACCCAGAGAGGTTGGACATGATCGTGTCCAGGTGGGTTTGAATATCTCCAGAGAAGGGGACTCCACACCCTCTCTGGGCAGCCTCTTCCAGGGCTCTGCCACCCTCACAGGAAAGAAGTTCCTCCTCACGTTGAGACACAATTTCCTGTGGTCCAATTTGTGCCCGTTGCTCCTTGTCCTGTCCCCAGACAGCACTGAGAAGAGCCTGACCCCATCCTCTTGCCATCTGCCCTTTGGATATTGTTCAACATTGATGAGGTCCCCTAAAAGTCTTCTCTTCTCCAGGCTGAAGAGACACAGGTCTCAGCCTTTCCTCTTCAGAGAGGTGCTCCATTCCCTTGATCATCCTTGTAGCCCTCTGCTGGACTCTTTCTAGTACTTCCCTCTCCTTCTTGAGCTGGAGTTCCCAGAACTCACCAGCCTTGACCCTAAAACCAGGCAGAGGACTGTGCTGATGGAAACAGGGCAGTGTCTTGGCTGGGGCCAGGACAAAAGGAGCAACCTGGGAACATCAGGCTGAGCTCTGGCTGCAGGCAAGGAGCAGTCACGGTCCTCAGATGCTGTGGTCACAGCACAGTTGGTTTGCTCCAGTGAAGGGTTTCTCCCTGCCCTCCCCAACCCCGTGCCCACCAAGGGCTGTGCCCATGGCCAAGCCCAGCTGTGTCTTCTGCAGTGCATGGAGGATGGGACCTGCAGCCTTCACAGGCGACCTGCATTGCAGCTTGCTCTCTGTTTGTGGTAACCAGAGCTATCAGCAGCAGAAGAAAAAAATGCTTGGAAAAGTCTGGAAGAGGGGGAAAGGTTGGAGGAGAGGCAGGCAGCAAGACCACAGGCAGCCGAGGGGAAGAAGTGCCCTTCCCAGTCCTCATGTCTTCCTTGGGCATCAGTCTGGCAGCCATGGCTGCACCAAAGGACAATGTAAATGGACATCTCCAGCTGTAGTCTGAGCCTCTCTGGAGCAAGGAGCTGGGAACATCCACCTCAGGAACCCACCCAGGGACTCGCTTGAGTGACCTCTCCCAGGAGGACACCTTGCTGCTGGGCCTCAGTACCACCAGCTTCATGTCTGACAGAAGGATGTGGTTGTGGATCCTGAAACCCTGTTTCCAGCAATTTCTTTCCCTGTTCTGCTCCACAGTTGCATTGGGCTGGACCAGGGCTAAGAGGGACCAAAAATGCCACTACCTAGAGGAGGGGAGATACACGGGGACACCCCAGAACTGATTGACCCAGAGACCAGCAGTGAGGCTGGGGGGGTTTCTGCAGGATGTGGAGAGGAGGGCTGGTGGCACAGCAAATCTCCCCACTTCCAAACCCAGCACCTGGACATCATGGTCCAGCTGTGTCATTGTCCCCACCTGCACTGCAGTGCCAGGGGAGGCACCCAGCACCCCGCTCTCCCTACCTATGTAGTTCATGATGAATCCTTGCCCCTTCCCAAAGATGAGCCCGGCAGGGTCTGAGTGGAACTGGATGGTGAGGTCGGGGCTGGAGGAGTAGAGCTTCTGGGGACCACTGCTGCCAACGTACTGCCCCAGGATGCGGGCGGTGAGCTCGTCCCCGTCATAAATGGTGAGGATGTCGCTGTTGGTGAGGTTCAGGCTGGAAAGGAGAGCTTGGTTAGAGAGCAGGGAGCCCAGGTGGGACACCACGGTGGAGCATCCAGGTGACCACTTGACCCAAAGCAGTGTGAACGTGCCTCCTGTCCCATCCCCATCCCTGTCCCCACGCAGGTTGGGCGAGCACGATGGTGCTGGTGGGTCAGGGGTGCTGGGGGTCAAACTGTAGCCCCATAACTCACCCTGGCTCCATCCTCCCCATCAAGAGCCTCTCCTGAGCCCTCGCTCCTCCCCGAGCCACCCACTGCTCTCGACGGGGAGGACACTCGCAGCCCCCGATGGTTCCCCGTGGGGCAGGGCGACCCCAAGCCCCACGGTGGGGTGCCACCAGCTTTCACCACCTCCACCCTGCCCCACGGCGTGGAAAAGCCCAGCCCCACCGCGGCGGTCGCCTTTTGCTGCAGCGCTGGTGGCCGCGGCCAGCAGAGAGCAGTGGTGGCCCGCGGATGGAGCCGGGAAAAATTTGGGATGCTGCCGGGCAGGCAGAGCAGGAAGAAGCAAACCCTGCTCCAGAGCCAGGGCAAGCACCACCAGAAGTCTCCATCCAACCCCCTTTGGGGCAGGGATGGGGTTGCCCCGTGGGAGGGAGGGGACCAGGAACCCTCTGCTGGGTCCCAAGGAAAGGGCAGGCAGTGGGTGCACATCCCTTGGGGAGGGGGTGTCCAGGGATGCCAGCCCGACTTCCAGGCTGTTTCTCTTGCCTCTGCAGCCCCACCACTGGTAGTGGGAGTGTGGGTGAACCCATGGGATCACAGAATCACAGAATCTTCTAGGTTGGAAGGGACCTTAAAGATCATCTTGTCCAACCGTCAACGTAACTGACAAAAATAGACACCCACACAACAAACAAGGAGCATCACCATCACTAAACCATACCTCCCAGCACTACATCAACCTGTCTTTTGAACACCTCCAGGGATGGTGCCTCAACCCCCAAGGGTGGGCACAGACATCACCTTCCCCTCCTTGCCACCCTGCAAGCCAGCGTGGCTCACCAGCACCCAGCACCCTGCTACCGGGCATCAAAAGAAGGGCTGGGGAAGCAAGGGGTTGGGGCAGGGACACCATGTTCTCCCTTTCCCCATGGGGAGAGGACCAGGATGCTCCCGGTCCCGCATGAGGAGTCTCCATCACTTTGGAGGCTGAAATAAATCCCAGGGAAGGCAGGATCCTCAACACGGGCAGGATGCGCACCCCTGCCCTCCACCTCTAATTCAGCCTTGTTTGGAGACGCCCGAGCTGATCCCCCAACGTTTTATTAAGAATGTTCCTGGAAGGCGCCCAGCTAATCCCCGTGGCAAGCTGACATTTGTAGTAAATCTCTGCTCTCTGTCAAACACGATTTCCCCACTGACATTTATGCCTGACGACTTCAAACGGCTCGGCCTCCCGTTCTGCTCAGCCCAAGCACCCACAAAGCTGGGGAGGGGGTTCACTGGGAGCTCCCACGTGAATGACTCTAAGCCCCTACTTAAAACACGCTCTCCTCTTGAAAACCCAAAATAGCATCGAAGGAGATTCCCTTTGCATTGGCAGCATTATCATGCCAAGGGCCTCCAAACTGGCATGGAACCCCCTGCTCCTCTGACCCCAGGCATGGGGGGTAAGGGATTTCCACCCCCGTGGTGCTCTGCTCCCTGCAGCTTTCTGTGCCATGTCCCTGAACAGCACAGGAGTGTGCTGGTGGTCAGGAGGGGAATTAATGCATTTTGTGAAGATGTGTGGGTCTCCCCCAAAAAAGAGGGTAGGGCACAGGAGGGAGGGCTGGGCAGAGCCTCCCCCTGCCCCTTGCCATCTCAGTACTCCCTGTATCCCATTCGGACCAAATATTAAGCTGAGGTTTCCAGCTCATGCACGTCCTTAAGCTTTTTTAGCCCCAGAATGAACCGGCTCGTGGTGGTGCTGCGTGTCACTCGGAGCTGCACGTGGCCACATGCTGCTGTGGCATCGCTCCCTGTGATTTTGCCCCAGAGGAGCTGTCTTGGGAGCAATTAACTGCTGCAAAGGATGGGGTAACAGCGCTTGGAACTCAAGGAGAAGCACTCGGTGCTGCCTTGGACCTCCCCCTGGGGGCCGAGTACGTCATAGGGGATTAAGAAAGGGGGAATAGGGGATTCCAAGGGGGAAAACAGGGAAAGGTGTGGGGATACTGCAGCAAAGTGGGCTGAGCACCCTTGGGGAAGAGACATACACTGAGATCCTGGGCTACTCACAGCTGGATGTCCAGGAAAAGCCGCTTCTCCTCGCCAACATGGACCCTCCAGATGCAGTCCTCCCCCTCCGCGTAGGGCTCTGGCCAGTTGGGGGACAGGATCACCCCAGCCACGGCAGTCAGCTCCCCCCCACACATGGCTGCGGGGAGCAAGAGGCAGGGAGGGCTCAACCGGGGTCCCCTGGGGTGTTCATACCCACCACCCAGCATCTCCCCGGTGGTGGGGACAGGGGACCGACCTCGGCACAGCGGCTCCGTGTCGTTCCAGTAGGGATCCCGCATGTTGACACACTCGATGACAGCAGGGCCCTGCTCCAGGGAGTGCCCGGGGTCACACGTGAACTCCACGGTGGTCCCCAGGTTGTAGGTGGGGTCGGAGGTGGTGAAGTTCCCGTTCTGGATGTAGGGCTCGTAGCAGTGGCCTCGCTCGAAGGCTGGAAGAGAAACACCACCCCCCCATTAGCCACAGGGGCATGGGGCTGGCTGGGGGGAGGTCTATCTCCCCCTGCTCCTCACACCCTCCGCTCTGGGGGTGATAATCCCTGGGCTCTGCCTCCATCCCCAGCTAGAAACCCTTCCCTCCATCCCCGCCGCGCATGGATGGCCTCCTCCACGGTGTATTTTACAGGCAATTAGGATTAACAAGAGTTTATCTGCCCTGAGCCACGCAGGCTTAACCCAACCCCACGTCCATTGTGTACCAGCATCAGTAACACACTTGCTGTGTTGCCAGTTGCCGTATTTGCTGAGCAATCTCCCCCGGGATTATGTGTGTTATTGAGCTTGCTCGGAGGCGAGGGGCTCCCGTGGGACTGATCCCAGCAGCAGGATGTGCTTAAATGACAACTGGAGCAAATCTGTGTGAGCTTCCAGGGCTTGCCCAGCGCCAGTCCCTGGAGGAGCTGCTCTGAGGTCCCCACAGCTGGTGTGGGCTACAGGGACCAAAGGAAGGGGACAGACTGGGCGTTTGGTGGGGACAGTCACCACAGGCTGTGCCATTCCCACAGCAGCCTTTTCAGCTCGGGTTTGGAGGGGCTCCATCCTGGCCAAGGCACCCACTGCCCCATGGCTGCCCCACGGCAGGCTCAGGAGATGAGTCCTGTGGATGCTCAGGTTACCAATGAACATTTCTGCTGGAATAAATGACATTTAGCTATTTCTTTGCCTATTTCTTGCTAAGTAAAGGTATTGCCCAAAGCTACTCCAGCCCCAGGCAAGGTTTGGGTTGCCCTGGGTGCCTACAGTGACATGGGGATGGTGGCACCATGAAGCGCAGGTAGGAGGGGGGAGCCAAGACCTTTTCTACAGCCTTATCTCTGTTAATTGCCCAAATGCCCGGAGCTTAGGCTGCTCTTGGGGGTACCAAAATGAGAGCACATCACCTTCGAAGCGGATGTTGAAAGCCGTGGGGGCCGCGGGCTCCTCGGCGAGGAACTCGATCCTGATGGAGGAGCCGTCGCTGATGACCCCTTCGAAGGGCACGCTGTCGGCGCGCAGCGAGTCGTAGAGGACGGCGGACTGGTTCGTGTCCCCGCTGTACACCACCATCCTGCACGGGAGGACACGGCACGGCACGTGGGAGAAGTGTCCCCACACTCTCCCCCCCCCCAGGAGCATCACCCAACCCCTCCTCCTCCTCACCAGCGCCCACGCTGTGGTGACCCCAGAATAAGGCATTTTAAAGAAATTGTGCCAACAAAAATTCACCAACCGGCTAAGTCTCTTTTACTGTGTAGTAAACAGGGGCTTTATTCCTTGATTTTACTGCAAGCCATAAACCCGCTTTACTGCCTGTTACCAGGCTGAATGTTGATGCTGTTTAAACACAAGCACCAGCACCATAAGTGTGTGCTCTGCGTTATGGGTGAGGAGAGCCTGGGATCTGCAGCTTCTGGCACCGTGGTGATGAGCAGGACTGGGCATCGGGTGTTTGGGGGTGGTGGAAAGGACAAATGAGACACCACACACTGTGTCACCCCACAGCCAGGGGACCAGCAAGATCCCCTGGCGTGAAGGCTGGTGACCAGGGGCTGGGGTTCTTTTGGCTCCAAGACCTGTCTTGACCCCTGAATGCTTAAACACCTGAATGAGGAACCTCCTCTCCTGCTCCAGGACCTCTCTCTGCCCCCGTCCTCACCATCCTCTGGCTGTCATAGAATCATAGAATGGTTAGGGTTGGAAGGGACCTCAAAGATTATCTAGTTGCCGGCTCCGTGCTGCACCCTGAGCTGGGGACAGTGCTGTCTGCGGGGACACCCACAGCCTGAGTGCTGTCTGCGGGGACAACCACAGCCTGGACACCAGGAGGGCAGGAGATGTGAGGTAGGAGAGCTGAGACCACCTGGGAGCTTGCAAGCTCCAAGCTTCCAAGTACATGTAGCACCCAACAAAGCACCCTGCACCTCATCAGTCCTGGGGGTGCAGGGAGATGGGCTCAGCACAGATCTTACCACCGGTCAGCATCACCCGGGCACACCAGAACGGCTCCTGGATCCTTACCTGTCCTTCTCAGTCAGCAGGAGCTTCTCGAAGTGCAGGTGTAGCTTCTGGCCCGGGGGGGCCCCGATGGCCCACACGCAGTACATGCTGCTGGACTGGTTGCCCGTGTAGCTGGGGGACAGGACACGGCCGATGGTGGCATTGTGGACCGTCCCACCACAGGGAGCTGCCAACACAGAGCACAGCCTCAGTCCTGGGGGTGCGAGGAGATGGGCTCAGTGCAGATCTCACCACCGGTCAGCATCACCCGGGCACACCAGAACGGCTCCTGGATCCTTACCTGTCCTTCTCAGTCAGCAGGAGCTTCTCGAAGTGCAGGTGTAGCTTCTGGCCCGGGGGGGCCCCGATGGCCCACACGCAGTACATGCTGCTGGACTGGTTGCCCGTGTAGCTGGGGGACAGGACACGGCCGATGGTGGCATTGTGGACCGTCCCACCACAGGGAGCTGCCAACACAGAGCACAGCTGAGATGGGCAAGGAGACAGGGCATGGAAGGAGACCTCTCATGGAAGGGTGTCTGCACGGGGGGCTTCTGCACAGCAAAAGGGATGAACACACACACACACACACACACCCACACTGATGCCTGCCTCTTCTAATCAGTCGTTAATTCACAAACATCCTGCCTGGCTTGGCTTTGCTTTGTTTTATGTCTACATAGAGATGCTCACACATAAAATCTATAATTTCCTTTCTCCTACCCGCCTAATTAAGAAGCAGATTGTGCTGCCACCGCCGTGCAAACCCACAGTACATCAGGTTTTGCAGACCTGGGCGTTGCTTTCACCCTCTCCCAGGGACTGCGTTCAACTCATGGTGCAAAGAAAGCAACTCTAATTTATATATTTTTTTTTTTTCTTGGGGGATCCCAGTTTCTCTAAGTACTCCAGCTAATTAGCAAGGAACGTACCTGAGCAGATTGGCTCTGGGCTGCTCCAGTGTGGCCTCGAGGCGTTGATGCACGTAAGCACCCTGGGACCCTGCAGCTCGTAGCCCAGGTGACAGTGAAAATGAGCGATTCCGCCCGAGTGCAAATCCATCACCGTGACGTCTCCGAAATCGGGTCTCCGTGGAAAGTTGCAGCTCAGCATAAACACTGGAACAAGCAGGAACGTTTCAGAGCTTGGGGCTTGTCTGCTCCGAGCCACCTCGCGCTGGGGACATGCTGGATGTCCCCACGGTGCCACGGACAGACCTCGCCGCCGCAGAGCACCGACAAACCACCGTGTTGCCACTTCTCCCACCTGTTACTGCTTTTGCTCAGACCCAGTTTCTATTTTAAAAAGAATTTGCTTCAACTCATCTATTTTTTTATAGCTCTGCAAGGGAAAAAAAAAAAATAGACCTGGAGCCTGAGCAGGAAGAGCTGCTCCATGGGGACAGAAACGGGGCAGAAGTGAGGAGCAGAGAGAGTGCTGGGGTCCAGGATGTCTGGGGACACCAAACCCTCTGCTCTGGGCACAACACAAGCTGCTGCTTGACACCCCCTCATCTGATGCTCTGAGCATGGGCATGCAGCAAAATAGGAGCCCAGCATCCTCCCGCCCCCGAGCCCCACGGTTCTGCCACCCCAATCCCACCCCTCCTCTTTGTCACCCCCATCAGGGAGGCACCCACCCTGGTAGTGCAGCTGGAAGGTCCCCACCACCTCGTCCTGGAAGGTGCGGAAGTAGACGGAGATGGTGTTGGTGGGGCTGCGGATCACCTGGCCCTCCACCAGCAGGGTCTGGTTGGCCAGGACCACCAGGGCATCGCCATCCACCCCGCGGATGGAGAGCACCTCCCCGTCCGACAGGTTCACGCTCTTCACCTGCGTGGGAGAAGAGACCTGTTAGCTGTGGGGGTCCCGGTGGGGTGCCAGGTGAGGAGACATGTCCCAACCCCAAACACATGCACCACCACAGCTGCTCTGAGGGCTTGTTGCAGACAGGAGCTGCTTGCCCAGCTGTGATGGAGCAATCTGTGCCCTGCCCTCCCACCCCCAAGCCCCATGGTTCTGTCACCCCAATCCCACCCCTCCTCCTGGTCACCCCCATCAGGGAGGCACCCACCCTGGTAGTGCAGCTGGAAGGTCCCCACCACCTCGTCCTGGAAGGTGCGGAAGTAGACGGAGATGGTGTTGGTGGGGCTGCGGATCACCTGGCCCTCCACCAGCAGGGTCTGGTTGGCCAGGACCACCAGGGCATCGCCATCCACCCCGCGGATGGAGAGCACCTCCCCGTCCGACAGGTTCACGCTCTTCACCTGCGTGGGAGAAGAGACCTGTGAGCTGTGGGGGTCCCGGTGGGGTGCCAGGTGAGGAGACATGTCCCAACCCCAAACACATGCACCACCACAGCTGCTCTGAGGGCTTGTTGCAGACAGGAGCTGCTTGCCCAGCTGTGATGGAGCAATCTGTGCCCTGCACAAGCCTGGGGGGACTCCCGTGAGCGCTGACCCCTTCTCCCTCCCCTGGGACAGCAGGAGCAGGCATCTGGAACCTCCCCTTTGAGACACATTTCAAAGCAGGATGTTCCTGTGCAGCACGAGTTGACCCATCTCCACCTCCCTGCTGAAACTGGGGATTGGTGGGTCAAGGAGATGAGAGTTAGACAGGAGGAAGGTGGAAAGGTCCCATAAGCCACTGGTTACGGTAGTGGTGGGGCCCCAAATCCACCTGCATCCACCCTGGGAACAGACCTGCATCTCAGGACACCATGGCACAGAACAGAGAGGTGATGGAGGTCTCATCCCTGGAGGCATTCAAATTCAGGGTTGATAAGGCTCTGAGGAATCTGATCTAGTTGAGGATGTCCCTGCTTACTGCAGGGGGGTTGGACTAGATGGTCTTTAAAGGTCCCTTCCATTCGATGATTCTACGATTCTGTGGCCAAGGTTCACTGGTTCCAGCCAGGGCTGCACTATTTGGCACCAATCTGCCACCAAACCTGGGTGTTTTGTAGGGTTTGGTGCTCACCACCCACCCCATGGACCAGGCATCCTCCTCGGGATCCCTCACCCACGCCCGGCAAATATGTCTAATGAGCAGTCCCAAAAGGCTTTAATTATTATTTGGAAATTGCTGAAAAGTAACCCCGCATTTGCTTTCCACGTCCATTCAGCTTAATAAATGGGCTCATATTTCAGCAGAAAGATGCTCATCAGATCATTTGTTTCCTTAAGTGTGTGAGGACCAGGGCTCTATATTTAGCACACACCACAGCCTTAGCCCGTAATTGCGAGTGCTCCCGACGATGTTGTGACTAGAAGGATTTCTTGCTGTTGTCACCACTGTGCCCATCTTCCCCCCTACCAGGCAGGGATGTACCCGGCTCTTGGCATCCCCTGACCTTCTGCTGGAAGAACCGAGGAGAAAAGACCCCGACCCCATCACCTAACTACCTGTCTGCCCCAACGGTCCATAAACCCTGAGCAGCCCCTGGAAAAGACTGGCCCTCACTGTGGGGCTGGGCTGAGCAGCCCCCAGGATGGGTCAGAGAGCACCTGGTTTCACCCCAGCCCATGCTTTTAACCCAAGAGGAGCTGATTTTCCTTATTTCGAAGCGAGGTCACTGCAGAGAGTCTCTGGTCCTCACTTGGGAGAAAAGTGGTTGTCAGTCCTCATCATTGTCACAGGGTGCACCAGAAAAATGGGGCAAATGCCTGTCCTGGACCTCGAATTGTCCCAGGTCATTTCTTCTTCCCCAGGTTTTGTCTTGAAAACGTGCCTCCCCAGCACAGCACGCACACAGCACATTTGGCAGGATGGCTCAGATCTAATGATTAATAAATGGAATGAATCAAAGTGTTATTGGGGATGAATTATGTGGAGCACGGGACCCGGGGATGTTAAGTGGGCTACGTACAAAGGTATCAGCTGACCCCCAGTTCCCACCGGGGCAGAGTTTTGCTTCCTGAGCTGGGTCTGAATCACCACAAAAGAGGTTTGCAGGGTGTTTGTAACACATTTTGTTCTGAAATCACTCAAAGACAAGCCTGCTCCCCAGCTAGCTTCCTCCGGTGATGACTAGCATCAAACGTGCTACTGAGCACCACATTGCTCCAGCAAATGAGAACAAGAATTATTCAGGATAAGAAGTTCCACCTAAACATGAGGAGGAACTTTCCTGTGAGGGTGGCAGAGCCCTCAGAACAGGCTGTCCAGAGAAGGTGTGGAGTCTCCTTCTCTGGAGATACTCAAACCTGCCTGGATGCCTTCCTGTCCAACCTGCTCTGGGTGACCCTGCTCTGGCAGGGGGTTGGACTGGATGATCTCCAGAGGTCCCTTCCAATCCCTACAATTCCATGATTCAGTTTCCAAGGAGCAGCCAGAGGGAGAAGAGAAGGAGCTGATGATCATCGTGGCATCTCCCCGACCCCTCACAGGGTGCCCTGAGGTGGGGACACCACTGGGACCCTCCTTCTCCTGTAAAGCCGGGCTGAGAGGAGCCTGGAGCAGGGATGGATGTCATTGTGAAGGACCTGCAGTTCCCTGTGCTGGTGCCAGGTAGGCTGGCATCCTCAGAGGACCCCATCCACTCCTGAGTAACCAGCGGGTACAGACGGATGCGGTGGCCTCGCGCCAGGGACCATCAGCCGCTGCGAGAGGGACCATATGGGCGAGTTCCTGCCAGGGGCTGGGGAAGGACAAGTTCTTACTTTAATCAACGACCTCACCAATGTCAGCTCCTAAAGAGCCTGGTTAGGAAGCCAGGAGGGATCCTGGATTCCGACTGCCAGCCTCGCTCACCCACTAGAAAAATCTCTTGAGGGGAATTCTATTTTCCTGCCAAGAAGATTCAAGAACTTTAAAAATAAATATAATCTAACTAAGCATTCAGAGAGCTGGCTGCTCCACCACGATGCTGTGACCAGGCTGGTGTGGGGGCAGCCAGGGTAAGGCACAGCTCTCTCTGGGATGCTGTGGGAAGCACGGAGGGGCTGCCAGCAAGGAGCCAAGCAGGGACTCTGAGCTCTCCCATGGCCCTGGGCAGCCCCCAGCTCCAGGCAGGTTTGCTGGAAGCCTTTCTGGAGACGATGCCCAACATCCAGGCTTTGTGCCTGCTCCTCACCAGAGGCAGATTTCCCTGCAGCGAGCAACGGTCTGGCTCTGAAGGGCACAAGGGAAGGGAGCAGAAGGTCCTCACAGCCTCCTGAACAGCTTCATGTGGCCACAGGAGCAGCTCCCCAAAGCTGTTTCAGGGCAGGGCAATGCCACCATCATTCCTACCACCACTGTGCTCTCCTGTGGTCCCTGCATTGAGAAGTGACCCCCACCATGCAGAGTCAGCACCTCCCCATCCCAGGAGCTTCTCCTTTCTCCCACAGATGACTTCAACAACATTCACAGAGGTGAGAGGCAGCCCTTCACCATCACTTGCTCTGCCCTCCCCGTGCCACAGGTTGAATCCTGGAGGAGACCTTCCCCCACGCTCTCCAGGACATCTTTCCTCAAATCCAACTCCCAGCAGGACCTGCTGAGACCATACACCACTCATGACAGGGAAGCACACCAGCCCAGGCTCCATGCAGAGCCCCACCCAACCCAGCTCCCCACCACAGAGCAATGCCCCTGCCCAGCTCCACTCCCCAGCCCAGCCTGGCTTCTCCCAAACCAGCATCCCTGAGGAGATCCAGCCTCCAGAGCTCCCAGCTCAGCCCCAGCAAACCTACGTGAAAACAGGAATCCCTCGTGGGTCACTTCTGCATCCCACCATCCTGGCAGGAGAGCTCAGCCCCACACCTCCCCAGCCAGCAAAGTCTTCCCTACCCATCTCTGTTACAGGAGCTGTGAATTAAACCCAAATCACTTAAATGTTAACCAATTACCCACGTGACGGGGAGGCAGCTGAGGAAGTTGCACTGTGTTACTCCAGCACCTGCCCCATGTAATTAGCCCCGGAGCCACTGAAGCCAGTGCCCAGACTGCCCAGTCTGGGTATGGCCATTGTCCCCAACCATGATGTCACTTTGGAGACAAGCAGTGGTACCTGCTCTCTGTCAGTCTCTGAGCCATCCCTGCTGTCCCCAGCTCTCCCTGTCACCTCCAGTCCCAGCCCTTCTGGTAGGAAATAATACAGAATTAGCACTGTCACCTTCCAGCATGTCTGTGCTAATTACTCCCCAAGTAATTAGTAAAATCCTCTGCATGAGCCAGGGAGCAGCAGAGAATGAGGCCATTGCTCTTGGTTTACAGCTGGGGAAACTGAGGCACAGGGTTGGGATGGTCCCTGGGGGCTCTTCGCTCTCCCTGTGCACCCCCCTGGGTCCTGGCACCTGGGAGGGGAGGGAAGGGACAGAGATAGCCCAAACCCCATGATTACTAGCCCTTCTGCCTGTGTTCTGCCCTGTTTCCCCAGCCCTGGGGTGAGGGACTGGGATGCTGCTGGGGTCTAGGATGCTGCCGGGGGCTGGGATCTGCTGGGGCTGGGATGCTGCTGGGGGCTGGCTGTCTCCGGGGCTGATTGCCACCCAGCTGTGCCCCCCCCTGCCGCTGGGATGCTGCTGGGAGCTGGCTGTGTCCGGGGCTGATTGCCACCCAGTTGTCCCCCCCCTGCCAGTGGCAGCTTGTGCAGAGAGATGCCTCCAGTTCAGCTCCCTCGGCTGCCCATCCTTCATGCTGTTTTTGCAGGCTTTTTGGGGTCTTTATGGCAGAGCCTGCTCGTGACGGTGGGGACAAGTCCCAGCCTTGGGACCGGAGCTTTCTGCACCAGCCCCACTGGTCAGGGGTGACATCCAGGGTGGACTTGTCATTTTGAACTCAGGTTTCCACACAAACATGGACCATGTTTCTGCACTGCACTGTCTTTCTCCTCCACGGGCTCATCAGCATGTATTGTGTGTGACATCCCCTGCGCGAACTAAAGAGAGGGGATAAATCTGTTGTCATCACTTGCCATGAATGCTATTTCTGGCTTCCTCGGGACATAAATCATGTCTCTGCTGCTGCCTAAATGGTTAAAAAACCTTCTGCAGAGCTCCTTGCCTGCCATGGTGGGTGAGATCCTCACTGATGCTGACACGCTGGAGCCCATGGGTACCTGCAGAGGGGTCCTGCAGCCCTGGGGAGGCAGAACAGGGACTGGCAACCCCCTTTCCCTCCTCCTTCATCTCTACGGAGCTGCTGCCCACCCTGGGGCAGGGCATGGGCAGGAGTTTTCCTGCACTCACCAGCTCCAGGGCACTCAGCATCGCTGCCTCCAGCCCCAGGGCCCATCTTCCTCCAACTCTCTCTGGTTCCCATCCAAATGGGGTGGCTCAGCCCTGCCCCACCGCCCGTGGGCACCTCGGGCACCCCAGGAGCTGGTGAAGGGTGGGCTGTAGGGTGTATGCCCTCCCAGCTCCAAATGCAGCCGTGCCCAGCCAGCGCCGACCCCACTGCTGTGATTTAATTTGTCTGAAAAGCTCAGAAGCATCAGCAAAGTGAGAGGCAGAGCTCAGGGGGATGGGGGGGTGGTGGTGGAGAGGCTAATTTTATGCTCCATTAAAATCTCAGCCTACAATGGAGCGGGGTCAGGAGTGGTGTCACCTGAAGGATTATGGAACCAAAGGGAATTTCCAGTGGAGCATCCCATCTTTAGCACCCTACAGATTTGGGGAGATGGTGTTACTGCCATGAAAAAGTGTCTGAGATGCTCACACATCCCAGTGCCCACCCCCATGCCACTGCTGCCCGGCTCTGCTGGTCCCAGGGCAACCTCCACAGCAGGGCTGGTGGCCACGGTGCCAGTCGTGCCATGGGGGTCAGCCCCTCGTGCCCACCAGAGGGGCGGCAGGAACAAGCTCACTGGAACCGCTACTCTTTTAAATGCACATTCTTAATTACACGGATTAAAAGTTAATGGATTTTAATTGGATGCAAACGGTGGCTTGGGGAAAAGGCAAGAAGGAGGAAGGACTGGGCACCAGAGCGCGGAGAGCGTGGCCGGGGGGTGTCTGAGCTCTGCCAAGGCAGGAGGCAGCGCCGCTGCTTCGCCCCTTCCCACGAAGGCTGAGAGCCTCTATTTTTTTTTGCAAATCGCCTGCCAGTGTCTGGTTGTTAAATTAATTGCATGGCATTTTAATGCTTTGATCATCGCTGACGTTCAGGATGTACCAATTCCCTCGTACACTTTATTTACTACACGGCTTAAGAAAAATCGAGGTTTTTTTTTCCCTAGGAAGGGTGTTTTTTTAGCAAGTTCAGGTGCCCGGGGCAGCCAGGGTGCTTGGCATCCTTTGCCACTGTGGCACAGGGTGTCCAGGCCATGGTGATGCCCACCCCCCCTACCTCCTGACACGCTTCTCACCTGGAGCTCGACGCCGTAGCCCGTGTAGACGGTGACGTTGTAGGTGCACTCCAGGAAGCTGTGCAGGGGCAGCGGGGGGTAATCCGTGGAGTCGATGTAGCCCTCGGGCTCGTGGAAGCTCATGCTGCAGAGGACTTTGAGGGGGGGGGACACGCATCAGTGATTGCCTTGGGTACCAGCTTACCCCATCCCTGGGTGCTCCTGCTGCCCTAAAACCCAGCACCCAGGTCCCTGCTCCAGCACTGAAGCACCAAAGACTTTAGGCATCCCCAAAACCCCCAAGATTTTAGGCAGATCACCCCCAGCTGCTCCCCACCACAACCCCATCCCCGTGCTCCCTGGCCCCGCGCCTTACCTGGGGTGGGCTCCGTGGTGATGACGGTGGTGGTGATGATGGTGGACGTGGTGGTTTCTTGGCTCTCTTCCCACGTGGAGCCATGCGCCTCGCTCTCCACCCCCTGGGTCCGGTTAATTGTGGTGGCACCGGTGGGAGCAGCGGTGGGAGCCTCGCTGGCATCACCCAATCCATCAGGGAAGGGACGAGGGACCGCTGGTGGCAGGGTGGAGGGGGAGATCTGCAGGGGTGGGCGGCTGGTGGTGGCCTGGCCCCCCCAGGGAAGCTCAGGGGGGCTCTTCTCCACGTCCCCCACCCCGGCCACCGCCTCTGCTGGCACCCGTGGCCCTTGGGAGACGATGGGGAGCCTGGAGCCCGATGGGCTGGCCGGGGAGGCAGCCCGGGGTGGCCCTGGCAGGGTGGGCTTGGGCTTGGGATGCTTCCTTGCCGTGTTTACTTGCTTTGGAGTAAGTGTTTTTTTCTTAACGGGGAAAGTTTGTTTGGCAGCAGCGTCGGGGGCGGCGGTGGGGGTTGGCAGGACGTGGCTGTGCACCAGCAGCGTGGTCTCCTCCGCCGTGGGGTCGGTGCCATCCTCGGCGGGTGGCAGCAGGTTGAGGGCAGTGACGTGCCCGAGCTCCTCGGCTCCACCAGCCTTCTCCATCAGCTCATCCCCAGCCAGGGGGTCCGGGCTGGCGGGGACCAGCGCTGCCCCCGATCCGCTGTCTGCAATAGAAAAAAAAATAAAAATAAAATAATGGGGAAAAAGTGGGACTCGGGCAATTTTGGGTATGAAGTTCGAGCAGCACGGAATCAGCCCCCCGGGGAGCTGCAGCTGATTGAACGCCTGCCGCTCTCCCAAACGGGCTCATTATGGGAAAGTCATAATGAGCCTGCACCGACTCCCTGAAAGTTGGGTTTCTGCTCAAACTCCACGGCCGGCCTTATCTCGCTGTTTCCAGAGCTGCTATTTGGTCTCTTTATCTAGAGGTCACTTGTTCAGGGAGGTTCACTCGCTCCTGCTGAGTTTGTTGCTCTGGCTCCGGGTCTCTGTGAAAAGCCTTTATTTTTGCAATTGTCATCAGCCAACGGGGCTATTTCAAAGCGCCTGATTAGGCTGGGCCTTTTTCCCATTGTCTTCCCCAGGCTGCTGCCCGGCGGGGAAGAGAAGATGCCGATTAACCTGCTTCCTCCGGCCTCCCGCAGCAAAAAAACACCACCCTCTTCTCCAAAATCTATCCTTAGGCGGGGTCTAACCTTTTGTTTTGGGCAAAGGAACGCGAGGGAAGGGAAAAGTAATCAAAGCCCCGCCACCGCTGCTTCGGCCAGGGAGTTTAATTGCGTGAAACACAGATTAATTCGCCGCCAACGCCCGGGGTTGGGGCTGCGGCCCGCGGTGGCAAAGAAGCTGGAAAAATTCACCGTGGCTCTGCGAAACGCTGCAGAAAGCTCCGAGAGGCAGCGAGTCAACATTTTCCATGGAAACAGCAGTTGCCAGGGAAGGTCCCTAATGCGCACAACTTAAAGACTGTATTTCCAGCCCCCTCAGCTCCCCCGAGGAGGGTTTGGAGCCCAACCGGGCATGGGATGAGGGGGGGGGATGTCTGCAAGCCCCCAGCCCCACTGATGGTCTGGGGCTGCTGGGGCATGTTGTCCCCTTCATGACTTCATCAACCTGCTCCAAAAAGCCATTCGAGCTGCTGAGACATGGCCACAGGGGCAGCTGGGACACGTGCCCACCACGGTGCCAGGTCTCCCTGGGATGGGCAACCAGAGTTGGGCAGCCAGGGTTTCTCTCCCAAACAGACTCCAGCAAAGCACCATAAACCTCTGGTTCACCCCGGGCACTTCATTGCAATTAGTGTTACAGATGCTTTAAACAAAAGACACAACGATCACGTTGCATTTAACTTGATTTTTTTTTTGTTTTGTTTCCTTTCAGATTCTACTAATTAAGGTAAAACCGGAATGAAAAAGGAAGAAAAGGAGCTTCTGGATGTGAAACTTGAAACAAAGGGACACTGCTGAGTGATTGCTGCGGGGGAGTACAGTTCTCCTGGAGTCCAACTGTCGCTCACATCACCCTGTGATGTCAATGCCTTTAAACTTCTGCTTCTGATCCCTCAGTATCAGTTTTGGTGCTGTTTGGGCACGTGCCGGGCACGCAGAGGGTTTACAAGGGTTCTGCTGGTCTGGGCTGCTTCAGCTCCTCAGCCCGAAGCAGAGAATCGTAATCTCATCACAGGTAATTGCGTGGGTGCCGGGGCAGAGCTGGGCAGAGGATGGGGGAGTGGGCCAGCATCCATGACCTTGCCTGGCTTTGCTCCAGGCTGAGGGAGCCCCTGCTCCTCCTGCCCCATGTTGGGGACATGAACGCTGCCATCAGCCGCTCCTCGTAGAGTTGTAGAGTCATAGGATTGTCCAGGTTGGAGGGGACCTTCCAGATCATCGGGTTGAACCATCAACCCAACACTGACAAATCCCACCGAACGCTGCCATCAGCCGCTCCTCGTAGAATCATAGAGTCATAGGATTGTCCAGGTTGGAAGGGACTTTTCAGATCATCAGGTCGAACCATCAACCCAACACTGACAAATCCCATCACTGACCCTTGTCCCTCAGCACCACGTCTCCCTGGCTTTTAAATACCTCCAAGGATGGCAATTCCACCACTTGCCTGGGCAACCTCTTCAGGACGACAATTCCACCACTTGCCTGGGCAACCTCTTCCAATGTTTAATAACCCTTTCAGCGTGGAAATTTTTCCTAATATCCATCCTAAACTTCCCCTGGCCCAACTTGAGGCCGTTTCCTCTTGTCCCATCACCTGTTTCTTGGGACAAGAGACTGACCCACCCTGGCTACACCCTCCTTTCAGGGAGTTGGAGAGAGCAATAAGGTCTCCCCTCAGCCTCCTCTTCTCCAGGCTGAACACCCCCAGCTCCCTCAGCCGCTTCCCATGAGACTTGTGCTCCAGACCCCTCACCAGCTCTGTTGCCCTTCTCTGGACACACTCCAGGCCCCCAGTGTCTGTCCTGTAGTCAGATGCCTTCCCCCTCCTCTACCCAAGTATTTCACATGCAGGATTCCTGATGGAGAGTAAAGTTGTAGGGGACCTCACACACACCTCAGCGGTGACGCCGCAGAGCGTGGCTGCTTGTTATGCTGCTCACACTCCCCAGCAGGTCTGTTCCACCCAGATGTTGCCTCTCATTACACATTTAAGTGCTGATCCTGGAAGCATTCAGATACCCACTTTTCTCTGCAGAGGTTGGGTGCTCCCTGGGAGGTGACTCGCATCCGTAACGCTCAGTCCCTGCGTTATTTTGATGTGTGGGATCTGGGGCTTCACAGGACTCGGGATCAGAGGGGACATTTAGATGAGATATTAGGAAGAACTTCTTTGCTGTGAGGGTGGTGAGAGCCTGGCCCAGGTTGCCCAGAGAAGCTGCGGCTGCCCCATCCCTGGAGGGGTTCAAGGCCAGGTTGGAGGGGGCTTGGAGCAACCTGGTCTGGTGGGAGGTGTCCCTGCCCAGGGCAGGGGGTTGGAACTCCATGATCCTTAAGGTCCCTTCCAACTCTAACCATTCTATGATTCTATGATCATACACTACAAGGGGCAAGCGCCCACCCAGGCAGACCAGGGACTCCACACATGGAGGAAAGGGACACACAGTGGCAATGGGGTGGCACTGAATGCCCCAGTGGTCCCTGCCAGCTCCCGTTATAACCAAGCCATTATTCCTCTTGCTGCAACTCATGCAGGGATGAACAGTGGTCACCGCTACAAATGGTGGTTCTACAGCAAAAGCAACCCAGTGTCACCCTCGGGGACGCACCATGGGATGGGGGATTTCCCTGGCTGTTAATGGGGTGTCTGCAGGGCAGGAGGGATGGGCACAAGCAGCCTGCACAGAGGGAAACAAGCAGCCTGCTGAAAGCTGAGTTTGCTCCATCTTCTGGAGAAGCAAAGAGGTTTCTGGCAAGAATTGAAGACAAGGGAAGACAACAGCAAAAGGCAAAGGCTTGTCACCCTCGGGGACACACCATGGGATGGGGTATTTCCCTGGCTGTTAATGGTGTGCTTGGTGTCTGCAGGGCAGGAGAGATGGGCACAAGCAGCCTGCACAGAGGGAAACAAGCAGCCTGCTGAAAGCTGAGTTTGCTCCATCTTCTGGAGAAGCAAAGAGGTTTCTGGCAAGAACTGAAGACAAGGGAAGACAACAGCAAAAGGCAAAGGCTTGGAGAGTCAGCTTGAAGGATGGAGTTTCCAAAAGCCATCTACCAAGGGCTTCCTGGCCTCTTCCATTATATTTCCCATGACTTAAAAAATTAATTCTTTAATTAGCGGTAGTTCAGCAAATTCATTAACCGATTCCCTTAGCACATTAGGAGACATTTCACACATGTCATCTGCAACCACCGACTTGTCTCAGCTCTGAATAATCTACCCCGGTCCACCCTGGGGAGGCTGGGTGCCTCAGTGTCCCCATGCATGCTGCTGGTGGGACAGTCCGGGAGCCCCCACATCCTCTGAGTGTCCCTGCTTCCCTCTCCATCCCACCCCTGGGCTCAGCCTGGCCTCCAAGGGCATCCTGCCATGGGGTGAGGGGAATCTGGCCGTGGGGCCATGGGCATCCTGCCATGGGGTGAGAGGGGAATCTGGCCATGGGGCCATGGGCATCCTGCCATGGGGTGAGGAGCATCCTGCCATGGGGCCATGGGCATCCTGTCATGGGGTGATGGGGAGAAATTGGTCCCCAAGACAGTGCCAGTGTCACCTCTCCTTCCCTGACAAGTTTTGCAGGGCTCTCACATGCTTCAGGCTTCCTCTCCCAGCTCAAGCCCAGGATGGGTGGCCAGTGACTGCTCTCCCACTGCTGCTGGTTTTAGTGCTCTGCAGCAAAATGGTTTCTCCATTACTGGAGAAGACGGGGCTGTCAGACAAGGAGGAGCAGCACGGCCCCAGGAGCTGAGGAGAGAGGAGGGGGCTTGCTGGCTGGTGGGACACAGTGGGACACTGGCTCGCAGTGGGACAATTGGAGCGTTCCTACAGGAACCTGAGTCCTTAAAGCCAGTGCGTTACCAGAAACAGCAAAACAGCATCCCTGGGCTATTTGTCATGTGAACTCTAATTCTTAACGGATGTTGCCGTTAAACCATATTTTATGCTTTCGGGAAGTTGACTAATTTCTTATTAGATCCTTTGCCAGGATGCATTTAAACGATTCTGTCCTTAACAAAGCATGAAATAAAACACTCTGTATAGCGACTCCGTAATGAGATACTTAACATGCTTTAGTTTGTAAAGGGCAAATGTGTATTTCAGGGGAGGCAAGGCTGGAGCGGGGAGATGGAGGCACAGGGGGGCCCTGGCATCGGGGATTAATAAGGGCATATTCCACGTTACCAGAAAGAGAAGTGATTAATGCTCTTAACTCCAGATTGCATGGCCACCCCCAAACCAGAGATGTGCTCCAGCATGTCCCCGAGATGCCAGCCCTGCCTGCTGCCTCCCCAGAGCTACCAGACCCCTGTGCCACCCCATGGGTGTTGGTGGGACACTGGGACCCCCACCATGGCCCCAGCACAGCCCTGTGCCCGCTTCCCTCCCTGCTGGGCTGGATTTCCTCCCCTCACTCCTGCCCATCTTGGGAAGGGAGCCATCAGCTCTTCCCTCCTGGGGGGCAGAGACCCCGACATATGGAGGGGGTGTCACTGCCCCCACCCACAGCTTCTCCGGGAGGAGCAAGGCTTTAGGAAAAGCAAAGAGCAGGTGAAGCAGACAGGAATATCCTCATCCTTAAGGAAGGATTGCAGTAGGTTTCCATATTTGATATTAGGATGAGGGTGGACTTTGGTAAGATCCTTTCCACACCCATCTGGACGCAAAGAGCCGTTCTCCCTCCTCCAAGGACCATGGGGAGAGATGAGATTTGAAATTGCCTGAGTATCTTTCATTGCTGGAAGCCCTTCAGCCCCTCTCCCCTCCCAAAAGTGCAGAGATGCAGCCCGGCCAGCTAACACCACCAGAGGGCTAAATAAACCACCAGGGATTTGTAGCAACTTCTGTGGATTTACTCTGAGTTGCAAAATTATTGATGTAGTGGCAGGCAGGAAATGTCAGCATAGTGTGAGCTGGACCTAAGGCACAGACCAGTTTTTGGGGGTGTTCTCATAGCTGGGCTCTCACTCCCTGCACTGGACGAGGCTGTTTAACATCACCCATGTGGATGCCCGTGGTCCCCACCACCTCTCCTGCCCGAGGGGATGCTCAGTTGGGGATTGGGGCGGGTGCCACAGGACCCTTCCCGTCTGCCAAAATCCATCCTGTTCTGCACAAGTCAGGGATCTGGAGACACTGAGCTGGTGGAGGAGAAATGATCGCTTTTGACCTTGATCTAATCTGCTAAACCAGCTCTGGAGGAAGTAAACGCTATCAGGGTGGCTGCTCCCACGAGATGGGACAGAAACGTCCGGGCCACTTTGGAGCACAAGCGACCTTAATGCAAAACGACAGCTCATCTTCAGGTCTATTCTGGGATCTGCCTGGATACCGGCGTGTAAACACCGAGGAAGGAAGCTCAGCTCCGGGGAGGACGTCTCCAACCAGCTTTCAACTCCCCCACGGTTTATACTTAGCCGCCGTCGGAAGCGCTCGCTCCTCTGCAGGGCAGGGGAGTGGGAGTGGGGACACAGCGCCGGTCCCCGGGGATGGGGGGGTGGCAGGGGGTGCTCTCCAGAGGCAGCAGGGCCGGCAGGGCACAGACAGGGGCTGCAAAAGCATCTCCCCTCACCCAGATCTCACCCAGACCCAGGCACCTGCAGGGCAGCAGCCACCCACCCAAGCAGCCGCTCCTGGAGGGCCCTTGGCACTGAATGCATATTTATACGTATATAAACAACTACAAATGCCTCTTTGAAACTTGCTATCATGAGAAAAATTAACAACCTCAAAGGCCAACACATCTGGGGCCCTTGCTCTCTTACCCATCCCATCTTTCTGCCCACACAAAGCACAACTAATTGCTCTGACAAGATCTTCTCGGGTGCAAACAGTCTGGTTTTTTTGCCATTTAGGATAGGTTTTACATAGTGTTTTTTATCTTGCCCTTTTGAAGGATTCTGTTTTCCCGCTACTCAGAAATAAATCTGCTCATTGCCCATGATCTGTACACACACACAGCCACACATTTCAGGGGGTTGTGGCCAGGAATTCGCCGTGACGGCCCAGGCGCGTTAACGGAGCCACCTGCCATGTATTAAAGCAAGACAGGGAACGAGATTGTGAGGCCAAGCAAACAAAAGAGAACTAATTAAATGGAGCTCAAGCTCTCTCCCCGCTTTGCCACAATTTCCTACGCTATCAGCTCTTGCTCTCCATAAAAGAGAAATAGCTTTTTCGGTGCTCCCTTGCAGAGCGCTGAGTTTCGCACAGGATGGACACGG